TATACATCGAGAGAGAGAAGAGAAGAGAACAGAGGAGAGAGGACACTGAAGCCGCTGAGTCTCTTGAATGCAGTCAACAATGGCGCTATATCTTCTCTACGAGTCTGCTTCTGGGTATGCTCTGTTTTTGGCCCATGGTCTTGATGAAATCGGTCAGAACACAGAGGCAGTTCGGAACTCCGTGACTGACCTCCATCGATTCGGCAAAGTCGTGAAGCTCGTAGCTTTTACCCCATTCGAGTTCGCTCTCGACGCTCTCAATCAATGCAACGCCATCTCCGAAGAGCCAAACAGACCTTTTACAAAACTGAACACCCAGCTCACTCTCCACTTTATCTATTTCTTTTCATTTTTTTTTTATTCTCTTTTTCACTTTCCAACCCATGTGCATTTTGTTTTTTTATTCTATTTTTGACAACCCATGTGGGTCTGAGGCAACAATTCAGAATACACAGCTCTTTTTTTCTTCCACTACATGATTCCTTTTCTTTTCTTTTTTTTTATTTTCCACTTTCAAAATCACCACCCTTTTTGTTTTACTTTTCTTCTTTTATTATTTTATTTTTTCTTTACATCACTTTACACCCACTCTCTCTCCTCACTTTGCATCCACCGTCCACTTCTGCACTTCCCCCACAGACTCCACCCACCAAAGCTAAGCCATCATGCTGTTCAATGTGCCATATTATTCTTCTTATTATTATTTTTATTAAAAAAAAAAAAAAAAAAAAAAAAAAAAAAAAAACTATATATATATATATATATATAAAAACAAAAACAAAAACAAAAACAAAACAACACAAAACAATTTCCAAAGTTGTCCAATAGCCCATCTTTTATTCATGACAAGATTCAACCCCGATCACCATTTTAATCAAAAAAAAAAAAAAAAAAAAAACAAAAAACAATCCACAAGTGGAATTTTCTTCTCTACTCTGCTGCCGGGTCTCCTTCTTCTGCCTCCGTCCTGAGCAGCCCTTGACCGGTGTGCCTCCGTGTTTCCTTGTCCACCGAGCACGTTCACTCCCCCATACTCCTCCACTGCAGCATATGGCGGACCTCCAAAATCGGAACATCACGGTGGCCTTCCGCTTCAGCTCCTTGTTTTCTGCCCTTAGCACGCTTATCTCTGCTCGCGCGCATCCCTTTACATGCGTTGGAGCAGAGCCAGCTGGGAGTTTAAATGCTGCACCTCATTTGTCCTACTCTGCAGCCGGTTCGACAAGTTGTGACCGCCGTCATGCTTTCCACACATGCCTTCAGAGTATACTGATTGGCCTCCACATCCGACTGCACTGCCATTCCTTTTGCTCCACCGACCGCATCGGAAAGTTCAACGGAGCAAACTCCGGGGCGCTTGGTTGCGTTTCCAGTGCAACCACACCAGTTGTCTTCTCTTGTTGACTCATTGTAGGTCAGGGAAAGAGAGTGAGCAGACTCCGGGAAGATGAAGCCATTTTCTGCCACAGAGTATTACAGAGTATCTCTCTCAGAACTCTCGCTCAGGACACAGAGTGTTACGAAAACTATCCTCTCAGCAAAACGAAGAAGCTGTTGTGTGTGTTTTCAGAGGTTTTTCACAGGACTATTTCTCTGCCTTAGCCATCAGCCCTCTGTCTTATAGCCGAGCGGCAGCCACGCGCATCGCGCGCCTCTTGCCACCAGCTCCGACAAACAAACGGGACGCAAAGCCAAGGCGCGCCACGTGCCTCGCCATCATGTTCCGGCACACACCTTTTGATGAATTGGCACGCCTTTTTGGATGGCACGCCTTTACACCATTGGCACACCTTTTGAGGATGCCACTGTTTCCAAAGGGTCCGACAAGACTCTATAAAACTTGTCACCGACATTTGATACCGTAGCTCCTTTACTGGTCCGACAAGACTCGTGAAACTGTCCCGACATTGATTCCTGTAGCTCTCTTATGGCGTCCGACAAGACTCTGTAAACTGTCCCGAACATTGATTCCGGTTACTCCTTATGGGATCCGACAAGACTCTGTAAAACGGTCCCGACATAGATTCCGGTAGTTGTCTACAACGGTCCACATGAACCCCATAATAAACTGTCTTCTACAGTCGGTCTGACACACCACCAAATACAGCTGTCCTCTACAACGTTATGACACCCCATACAGTGTCTTCACCAACGGTCTGAACACGACCATACCAGTGTCTCCTATCCTTTTTTATTTTTTCTGTATTTTCTTGTTTGTTACTCTCATCCAGAACTCAAGTTGGTTAGTTCTCTCCCCTTGAGTTTGCGGGGGGGCTAGTCTAGGAAATTTTCCCATCTTTACCTTCACCTACTCCACTACACACTCCACTTCACCTACCTCCACTTCACCACACACTCCACTTCACCTAACCCACTATCACCTCCACTACACCTACTACCACATTTTCTTCTATATATAGATTGTATAGGAATTGTAATTAATCAATTAATCTTGTAATAAATCAATCAATATCAATCAATAATACATAAATTCTTACAAAAAGGGAGGAAAAATCGAAATTGTCAAACATTAGAAAAGCTGTACAATTTGGAAACGCTTCTCACTTTTAGGTCAAGTTTGCCTAACCTAAAAAAGCACACTTATTTTATTTTTTTATTTTTTTTGAGTCACATCAATTAACATATCACCTCTACTTTTTCTACACATAATATAAAAAAAGTCAAAAAGTACACTTATTTAATCTTCCCAAACTTGACTTTAATATATCAGATGAATTTCCACTTTTGGCACGCCTCTGTACAATGTATTATGTACAACTCCCCGAATGGGATTACACTTACTTAGGGCGTCTTTGTTTTGAGTTATTTTAGTAATCTTCAAGTATGGTCATGTAGTGCCTTAAAAGTATTATTATTGATAGAAGGGTAGAGTTTACAATTTTATATTAGATTATATAAGAAAACAATAAGAGACATGGTGTTTGATGATTGATAAGTGACATTACCGAGTGATGTCCTTGGACCACCAAATAATTTTTCGTTTGTTTTCTTTTTTTTTTTTGAACAAAGATTTTTCGTTTGTTTTCAAAAATAATTTTTCAAATTTTATGTCATTATTTATTCCACTTTAATCAAATAATTGTATACTATATATATATAGTGGGATCCATCTCGTATGTAACATTATTCGAAAGGAATAATATAAAAATAACAAATAACGATTGCTTGATTTGAAATAATACTCTAAGATTTTGTTTGATTACAAGATATAAAGAGAAATTTTTCCATTTAACTCTATATAAAATGTAGTCTCCACATATTCCATGTTTGATCTTAAGAATTTGTATATGACACCGTTGGATACAAAATTATTCTTTAGTTATTTTTATTTTTTGATAAAGAGGCAAATATTATTTATGACATTAGTTGGTTACACATCGTGGATTACCCATCTCACTAATATCATTGTTAACAAAAAAAAGTTATACAAAACTAGGAGTTTGAGAATATAATACAAGGGCTCCATGGTGATCAAAAACAACATTTGCCTTATAAATAATATAATAAAATTATTTTTTATTCAATGATAATAAATAGGGGATTTTTTTTTAAGATCCCTAATAATAACAATTTAGAGGCTAAAGGACACACAAAAAGATAGTGATGCCTCACGTCCCTGAAACAACTTGGCGCGCGTTTTTAATTATTTTGTGGACCAAAATACTTATATTTTAAATACATTAAATACTCCATTCGTTCTAAAATGTTAGTCATTTGTTCCATTTTTTATTATCTCAAAAATCAAGAAATATTTAAAATATTATTTACTTTTCAAAAATCAAGAAATAAAATAATATAAACTTACTATTTTGCCCTTCTTTTAAATTCATTAATAACACAAAAAATACAATTATGATAATTGATATTTTCAAAAAATGAAAATTAATATTTTTAAAATGTAATAATTACACTATAAAAAACTAATTTTTTTTTTTAAAAACTATTATTTTAAAATGGAGCGGGTAACATTTTGTATAGGCTTCAATAACTTCCTCACAAAACATGAAACAGCCGTGCTGGAGACCCCTAGCACCCCCAGCCCCACGTGGAAGCTGCGCAAGACTTGAAGGAAAAAAAAAAAAAAAAAATTTTTTTTTGACCAATCAGACCCCACTGGAAATCCTGGGGGTCGCTCCAGTGGGGGTTTGATGCATTTTCTAAGATGAAATTAGTAGTCAACTATCCCAATTTGTTCACCAAAAGTGGGATTAATAAGTGTCACTTTAGAATAGGCCCACTTTGTCTCCAAACGAAGTTAACAAAGCCATCCAAAACAATAAGCTGACTGTTGATTTAGGTTGCCCGCCCATATAGAACACTCATCCAACATGCTTTTACTGTGATACTATTTATTTATTCAGTAATGATTGAGTGTCATAATTTTTGTGATTCAAATGACTCGAAATTACTAAAACGATGTTGTTTTGAGTACAAAACAACTTCAAAATTGTCAAAACGACGTCATTTTGACAATTTTGAACCATTTGAGCCACAAAAATTGTGGCTCTCAAACATTTTCCTTATTTATTTATGTTAAATAAATAAAAAGTATTTCTTGGAGGTATCATTACAATCTCAATCTCAGTAATATTAAAAATTTTAAAAAAATTATTAAATTTTTTATTAAATATCTGAATATGAAATTTATTATGAAACCTATATAATGTGCGTTTTATACACATTTTATATGTGTTATTCCCAAGGCTTTATAAATTTACAAGGAAAAAACGCACCACCGAAATCAGCGGAAAATGCACCAAGCCAACATAAAAGACAAAATCACAAATAAAATAAAGCAGAATCAATTTCAGTAAATAAATGATACTCTCAAAAATTGAGCTGTGCTCATATACATGTGTGGAAGACCAACAATTCTTCACGGCACCACCACCCCGTGGTTTACTATGATACTAGTATCCTATGATTTTCAAATAATAGCCACCTAGGAATATTCCTTTTCCTTCCCTCTTATAAAACCTCCCTAAGCCCCTCCCTCCTCTTCTTAAACCAACCAAACAAACAAAAAAGAATAAACACACAACAACCCAACCTGTCTTCTTCACATTCAAACAAAAATAGCAAGCTATGTGTGAAGGATTGAAGCGTGATTACCAATTGTGCGAAGAGATCGGCCGTGGCCGCTTCGGCGTCGTCTACCGCTGCATCTCCACCATCTCCGGCGACTCCTTCGCCTGCAAATCAATCGAAAAACGCCTCCTCTCCGACTCCACCGACCTTGAATGCCTCGAAAAAGAGCCCAAAATCCTCCACCTCTTGTCCGGCCATCCCAACATTCTCCAACTTCACAAAATCTACGAAGACGAAACCTCCCTCCACATCATCACCGACCTCTGCGACTCCGGCGACCTCTTCCACCGCATCACCACTACCACAACCACCTTCTCCGAACCCGAAGCGGCCTCAATTTTCAAACCTCTCATCTCCGCTATATCGTACTGTCACCGCATGGGGGTTTCTCATCGAGATATAAAGCCGGACAACATTATTTTCGATTCGCGGAACAAATTGAAGCTCGCGGATTTCGGATCGGCAGAGTGGTTTGGTGGCGGCGGCGGCGGTGAGAGGCGGACGATGAGAGGGGTGGTTGGGACGCCGTACTATGTGGCGCCGGAGGTTTTGTATGGGAGGGAGTATAATGAGAAGGTGGATGTGTGGAGCGCCGGCGTTATTTTGTATATTATGATCGCCGGTGTTCCGCCGTTTTACGGTGAGACTGCGGTGGAGACTTTTGAGGCGGTGATGAGGGGGAATTTGAGGTTTCCGGCTAGGGTTTTTAGGTCGGTGTCGTCGGAGGCGAAGGATTTGTTGAGAAAGATGATATGTAAGGATGTTTCTAGGCGGTTATCGGCAGAACAAGTTCTGAGTAAGTAATTCTACTTCAATTTCCTGTATTTACATCCATGCATGCTCTGTAATTGTCTGTTTAGTTGCTGAGAAAATGAAGGGAAATTTTCTTTTTGGAGAATAGAGTATTAAATTTGAGTAGTTTGATTTTTTATAGTGTATGAAAGCTTATCGACCTAAGTAGTAAATTGTTTAAATTTAATTTATTTACATAATGAGTCTATGTCGAATGGGCTTGACTCGAGTAGCATGATTTGCTTAACCACCCTAGTCTATATATTGAAATTTCCAATTTACCTCTAATTTTGCTAGACAAACTCCAATTTAGTGTTTGGGTGCTGAGAAATTGAAGAAAAATAGCATAGGACAAAAATGTTAGTGTTATAGTTGTTCTCGAGTAAGTCTATAATTTAGTACAAGTGAGTCTAACTTAGATATTAAAAAATGAAGGGTTTTAGCAAGGATTTGGCATCATTCTGCTGATTTTCGTTGACTTTCTCTGCTACCAAACAGAGAACGTTTATATTTGAACATAGTTTTCTTTGTGGTTTCGTCCGAATTATATTCTCATTTTATTCCGTCTTTATTGAATGCAGGACATCCATGGATTATCAATGGAGGACAGACCCAATCAATGATTGATCTCACATGAAAATTTGCTTCAAAAACTAATTGGTCCGACCTTTGATGTACATACACCTCCGGCGAATTTGAATGGATGGTTCACAAATCCCATGGCTTTTCCTGGAAAATTTAGAGCCAAAAAGAAAGAGAAAGTCCAATGAAACTCTGCACCGTGGGAGAGTTGAGGTGTCCTCTTTTTCACCATGTTTTGGAGAGAATCTTGAGGAGGGAGTATATATGTAAATATACATGTTTGTGCTTTATGGTGAATAAAGGTAACTATGTATATGAGAGAGAGAGAGAGAGAAAATCAAATCCTTTGTGTTTTTTTGTATGAGAAAGTTGATGGTGAAGTAGAGAGATTATGAATGATGTTTTATTTTTGGTAATAGTGTTTGGAGCACTACTTGTAATTTTACAAGCATTGAATAATATCTCAAAAGAGAAGAATCTTGATGGATATTTGGAATTAGTAGGAAATTTTGATGTGGGGTTTTGATTTTTGGAATCTTGAAGAAAAAGCAAATTTAGATTTTGAAGGAGATGGAGGCACATTACTTGCATTTGGTTTGGGGATTCTCTTTCTGTTGTGTATAGTGTGTGTCGTCCTTGAGTTTTCTTCTTCATAGAGTAGTCTATGATGTCACTGACTACATCACTATTCTTTTACTTTTGGCCCAAAGATCTCCCTACGCATGCATGCTGTTGTAATCGACAAACATGAAATTTTGGTGAACATTCACCACACTTTGTCACTCACTACATCATCACCATACCATCTAAACATCTTTACTATTTCTCAACGAGTAGAGGAATGGTCATTTGAATCCGATTTGTAAGAGTCTGTTCATATTTGTTTGAATGGAGTAAATTTTATTTTATTTGACACTTATGTGAGGTGAGAGTGAATTATATTTTAGTTATTTACGTGGAGAGTGAGGCGGGGTGAGTATCAATTTTCTAATCTAAACTCGACTCGATATGATTAAAAATATATATAAACAAATAATATATATGTATATATAATATAATTAGATATAAAAAAAATATTAAAAATCTGTAATTTTGCTTGAATATAAATAAATTAGGGGTGCGAGCCCACTCAATGGATATGCTTAAAATAAAAATTTTAATTTTAAATTTATAACATATTTTTTATACTTTTTAAGTGATGAAAGTATTGTTTAATAAGTAAAGTAAATAGTCCTCGGTTCATGTCTTGTATTCAATTTCTAATTATAAGTATTGTTTTTTCTTTCTAAATGATAAAATTGGCACTTGATATAAGAAGAGAAGACTACTTAACAAAAAAAAAAAAAAAAAGAAAAAAATCAGCAATAGGAGATTTTGCTTTTTATTTTTATTTTTTTTTCTTTTTGAATGGAGAAATTAACACTTGACACAAGTAGAGAAAGTCAGTTTTGCTTTTTATTTTTTTTCTTTTTGGATGGAGAAATTAACACTTGACACAAGTAGAGAAAGTCAGTTTTGCTTTTTATTTTTTTTCTTTTTGGATGGACAAATTGACACTGCACACAAGAAGAGAAAGCCGCTTAGCAAAAGGACATCTCTTGGACACCAAGTGAAATGTTCACTTTTAATAATAGTATAGTTAATAATCCTAAAAGTCTTATTGTTTATATATATAGAAACAAGAGAAATTATTTAATGTGTTAAATATTTAAATGATTCTCAATTTTTTTTGACTATTTAAAATGAAGTTAGATATCCACAGAAACAGTGATGTGGTTGACAATTTCACTCGTAACGGGGTTGAGCCAGGGGCAAGAGTGGGGTTTATCCACGGAGGCGGGAGCAAAAGATGACAAACCCGCCCGATAATCATCCCTAACAAGGATATTTAATTTGTCCCCACTGGGCTATTGAATTTGTGTGATACCAGTTTGTTACAAGTTAAAAATTTAGGGAGTTGAAGTTAACCACATCTCTTGAGATAATCAACTTTTTGTGTTTATTTAAATTATGTTTACTTAACAAAAGAAAAAATCGTACCAAATAATTTGATACACCTAAAATTTAAAAAAAAAAACAAAAAACAAAAAAACAAATTAGATACAGGTTAAATAAAATGCATCAAACAACCCTATTTGTTTGATAGTTGCATCAGTGATGAGGTGATTTTATTTGTGTTTTTTTTTATTATTTATTTATAGCTTTTCTCAACCAAAAAAATAAAAGCTCAAAAAGGAACCACATTCACGTAAATTTATGAAAAAGGAAAAATAAATAAAATTGAAAATGAAAATTTTCACTTTTCTATTTATAAAATGTTATTTATCATTGAATTTATATCACTCTTATATGTATCAATGGAATGCATGATTGAATGGTAAATTTCACTTAACCATCTTATGGTTTGACCCATATGCAAATTACCTCCTTATCATTTAAAATAACCACATAATTTCTTTATCAATCATTTTGTCAAAGTTTACAAGTATGAAATACAATCCAAAATATAAGGGATTATATGCTTATTTCTAAATAATAGGAAGATAAATCATACATGGAACAAAACAAAAGGAGTTAAAATGAATTCTATATCCCTAAAATGATAAAAATATCCCTGATTTGCATAAGAAGGATACTTATCTACAAGAGTATCTTCGTCTTTTCACTAAAGCTGTTAACAAGTGCAATTCAGTTCACAAATGACAAAAGAATAATGATAGGATACATCACCAACGCATTGAAAATTAAAGTGGGCCAACATGTTTTCTAATCTCCAACCCTCTAATTAATACCACAATCAATCATAATCTATATGGATAGGTAGGATCACCATCGTAAATAAAAATGGCACTCATCATGCCACATGAAATGTCAAGTAGGAGTTGAATATTTGTGATTCGATGAAATATGACACTCTTCTTTCTATTGTTGTTTCTTTTCATGAAAAGTCAGGAGTATAAATTTTTTGATCCCATGAAACATGACCCTCTTCTTTCTATTGTTGTTTCTTTTACTCTTCACAAATTGCTCCGCAAATCTAACATTGAAATACATGGCACATGCAGTCTTGACATTGTTCATATCATAAAAATATGATGGAGATAGTGAACCCACACTAATGATTCAGAGCAGCATCTGTAGCTGGTATTAGTGTACAAAGTTGGAAGAAGAGGAAGGAGAGTTCACCCTTCTTTTTTCAAACTAACTTTAAAAAGAGCAAAAATAATATTTGCATTTGTTACTAATGATTCTTTCTTTTTATTTTCACAATTTCCATCAGAGCATAGTGAAATTTAAATGGACCTTGAATTTCTCCCTTCCTTCAATGACCCAACTGGACTGCAGCAACTTCACCAAAGTCAAAGGTCTCATACTTTTGCACCGAGGAACGACTGCATGCCAGAGGAAGAACTTCAATAGTTAACAAAAGAGATTATAAATAGAGACATGCATTTATAAAGCGATGCAATTGTACATGTGGTAATCATGCATTTTATGTAAAAAAACGGGTTATAGTCTGCTGAATGTGAGATAGGAACAATTGTCTGGGAAGGGAAATACTTCAATACTAATACCAGCAAAGCTAAAGTTTGAAAAGATACTCAAAATCAAATTGTTAAATTACTAGTAATCTATACCATGTACCATGTTGCATACTGTTGATTCTACGAGAATTTTTATGAAAGCCTTTCATTTGCGTCTCTTTGATGGAAGTTTTTATTTTCCCGAGTGTATCCTAATTTTAGGCCTAAAGCCTTTCATGCAGTATAAGACTAGTGTGTAATTGGGCACAAGCCCAACCTAACAACAAAGACACAGATTTTTATATGAAAAAGAGTTGATGTAAAAAAAATCCAAATTGTGTAGTTGAGTTACAAAATCTAGCACACACATTTCATAAAAAATATGTTATTAAACACAAAAATGATATATTAAATTACTTATTATTGGTTCTAGTCTCTAGATATATGTTTGATGAAAGTTTTCATCAAATATTAAGGGTGTCGTAAAACATTAGTGCTTCATTAGTGTCGAGATTATATATGGTCCACTCACATATCTTTGGATCCATTCCACATACCCAACTCACTTTAACTTTCAAGCACTTCCAAGCTCCAACCTATGCATTATTCTCTACAACTTATTTTTAATTCACTGATACATAAGCTTTTGTAATTTAATGTTATTAGAGCATCCCCATCTCTTCCCTTATATTACCTCCTTAGCCAAAATAAGGAGTTTTTTTGTCAAAACACACCCCCAGCAGTTCCCCTATCCAACCCCTCTATCCAACCCCCCAAATATAAGTGTTACTAGAGTGACTCCCTATCATATTTGATAAATTGTTATTATATTCGTTGAAGGCGTGCAGGAAAACTGGAGGGTTGTCCGGCCAGATGTCCCCCCGGATGTCCTGTGAATGCCCGTAGCTGAAGAAGAAAAATGCCCAAAATTGGCCTAACCGGTCGACCGCCCTGCTTTGCTGCTGCTGGCTAGTGTTTGATTTAGATGTGTTTTCATTATTTTATTATTACAAAAATATTCAAATCTAAAAGTACTTAAAAAGATTATTTTAATAGAATAGAGAAAGAATAGGGAGTTTGTTGAGAGAAGTAGATAAAAAGTGATTCCTAAAATACGGAATGAATTTTTGAATAATATTTTAGGGTAAAATTTGAGTAAACTGATAATACTACATATGTAAGAACTCAAAATTTATGCCACCTTGAAAATGGAACAAAAAGACAGCATACAGCACAAACAACTTGAGCAGCTCATCATTTGACACTGGTTCAACAATAACAATCAATTCATGTTTTTGACGTGAAAAAGGCTCCGCTTACCTTGACACCAGTTGGAGTGTTTCCCGGTTTAGCTGTTGTAGTGCTGCCAAAGAAATTGACACCTGGAGTGTTTCCAAAATTGAACTTTGATTTCTTTTCTGCAGGTTTTAGTATTTGGAAAGAGCACATAAGTGTCTCATCGACACTCATCATGGCACCAGCATTGTCAAACTCCCCACAATAATTGGGTGCCGAGAATATGGTTACAAGTTGTCGGTTAGCAAAGAACTCATAACCATCCTCTACAACCTGCAATTTAGTAAAATTAAAATAAATTACAAAACTAAAAATCTTACTTTTGGTTTCTAAAATTGATTAGAACTCATATTCTCCATGGTCTACTCCAAAGATTGTCTCGAACAGACAGACAGGTGCCAAAATGTCCATATAAACTTATATATAGAAGGATAAATTACACTGACGGGTTTGGCATAATTACATAAATTCCCCTTTTGGTAAAGCTAAAATGATCAAAACGAATGCAAATGGAATGTAAACAGAGGGTTAAAGAAGAGTAATATATTATAATGTAAAAGAGATAACATTTTTTCATCTATACGAATAACAAATTTTTGATAAAAAGGGGAACTAAGTGCCATGTGAAGTAAAATCTTAAGGAAGTTCACAATAATTATGTTAAACTTGTGGCTCGATGTATGTTTTTTTTTTTTTTTGAAGTATGCAATTGCCTCCCATTGGTTTAATTCCCCACCATGTAATTAGTAGTGAAGACATAAATTCAAGAACAAACAAAGAGAAATACCAATAAACCAAGGTAGTGTTTGGTTCACTGGAATGATCATTCCCTTACAATGGTGAATAATGAATCCATTTGCAATGTATTTTTAATTAATTTTGTAGTGAACCAAAAGTGAGAATGAAAATTTTGATGGAAAAATCATTCCATTCCACTTCATTCTAATGAACCAAATAAAGCATAAGTATCAAGAGAAACCTGGTGAGCACGGCAAACAAGATCCAAATCATGCTTTTGTAGGAACTCTGTCACCTTGTCAGCACCAAAAGTATAAGAAACTCCCCGGTCATTCATTCCCCAACCTTGAGCATCTCTACTGGGATCAGACCAGAGAAGATCACAAAGCAAACCAGAATCGGGTACATCAGTTGGGCGGTGTAAATTTCTAATTTCATCCAAGTGGTGCAGATCAGGAGAAAGGCCCCCATGCATGCATAGAATCTTTTCATCAATTAGGGCTGCCACGGGTAAGCAGTTAAAGCAATCTGTGAATATTTTCCATAACCTAACATTAAATCTTCTCTTACATTCATCATAAAATCCATATATACGATTTATAGAAGCACACTCATGGTTGCCCCTCAGTAGGAAAAAGTTTTCTGGATATTTTATCTTATATGCAAGAAGAAGGCAAATTGTCTCTAGGCTTTGCTTGCCACGATCAACGTAGTCCCCCAAAAATAAGTAATTGGCCTGAGGAGGTAATCCGCCATACTCAAAAAGCCTAAGAAGATCAGAATATTGACCATGAATGTCACCTGTGTGATAAACAGAGTACACTGTCAGAAAAAAATTCAAAGAACCTTCTTTTTTTAGGGAACACAAGCTTCAAATAAATTGTAATAAAAATGATACTTCATATGTTAATTTTGTAAGTCATCATTCATCAGCAGCAGAGGCATAGCAAAAAGAAAAAAACCACAAGGATATCAGAGTTAATATCCAGCTATGAATCATGGGCGAGACATGAGAAATGGTTACGAAACCAATATGCATATACAACTCTTCTGAAAAAAAATTCCAGAAAAATAGATAACTATCATGGATCTACAGACCTAACCACATAATGTATTCTGCAGCTTACATAAGAGAACAACGGCAAATAAGGAGGGGAAAAAAGTTACATATTATCATATGTAATGTATACATTTACATTTACTTAATGCAAAGAACATACAATACAAGGTCTGGGGAAAAAAAATAAAGAAGAAGAAAACCTATCACAATTTTAAGAAAACGACTTGTGTCAAACCATGTTAGACAGGAAAACATGGAAAGAATTGCATTGAATGGATAAGCAATACAGCAGTTTCCGGCAGACTAAAAAAAAAACACTCCATCTTCCAAAATCTATCCAGTTATAAAGTTGTGGCAGCAGGCTTTTGGTATTTGACCAGATATTACCTAAGCAGAAACTATGACACAACGCCTGATGTGGCAAGGAAGATAATTGCACTACATAACTGCAAGAAATAGTGAGATAACCTAATTTGAAAAATAGTAGCCAATACACATTGCTCGAGACACCCCTCTAGTAAATTATATAATGCATAGGCAAAAGACAAGTTCACTGTATGTTAATTGTAGTATTTATAAAACCAATGTTATAGTAACATAGTGACTACTCCCTCCGTCCCAAAATATTAGTCCCTTATTTCATTTTTCATTGTCCCAAAATATTAGTCCCTCTTTATAAATCAAGTACAAAAATAATGTAAATTTCCTATTTTGCCCTTCTTTTAAATTAATAAACAATTTAAAAAGTACAATTATGACATTGATATTCCCAAAAAATGTACTATCAAAAGGGTAATTTTGGAAAACCAAATTTTTTCAAATGCAATAAGTGTACTACCAAAAAAAGTTGGATTCCCCAAAAGGGACCAATATTTTGGGACGGAGGGAGTACAAAACATGCGCACACACTGGGAACTTTTTTTTCCCTTCCTGCAGAATCTAACAGTGAGTCTTTTAATATCACATCGCCTAACCTAGCAAGGAAAAAAAACCACATAGAGAAGTGACTAATCACGTATTTTTAACTTTATCCCTCTGTAGAATATGAAAAAATTGACCATGCCAACTACAAACCAAACCAACCAAACATCCAAAACAAAAATTTGCCGCAGGTAGAACACAATACCTCGCGTAAGCTTCATATGGTCTCCCCCGCACTAGCATCATTCACCAGCATAGATTCAGTTGCTACAAAAATGATATTGAAAGCAAGAAACTGAAATCTTTTCGAAATTTTATTTCTTATTTTTATTTTTTTGGATAAATCTTTCCTATATCTTTTAGGAAAGGTATAGGAACAAAAAACTCACCAACCACTGGCCCAGCACATACACCCATACAAATTATCCTCGCAATGCAAAATTATGTTCAACTGGCAGGGGCATTTCAATATTTCAAAACATGAAAAGTCCACATAATTGAAATTAGAAACAACAATGGCAACTTAAAGAAGACACAAATCAAGAAGACAAAAGATGCATCATACATGAGTCACAACCTCTAACACTTTCTAACGCAGTCAATAGGAGGACAACAGCCATATAGTGACCAAGAACAAAGAAATTTCATTGGCATCCTTTCCAATTAATATTTTAATCACCAAAACAACAGCAGCTATATCATATGAGTCACAAAAATCAAGGCTGGCGGTGTCAACTTCCAACCATGCATATAATAAAATCACCTCCAAAACATCAACTTAAGGCTGACAAACAGTTAAATTCCTCGCATTCATTTAAAACCACAATACTTAGTTAATCCCATGAAGATTTCAAAAGTAACAAAAAAATCATTCACATCACCTAATTACCGCATATACAAAAGGCTACGAGCCAAAACAAATTTATATATCTCTATAAAGGTCACATCAACATATGCTAGTTCTGAAATTTGAAACATACATCAGCCACAAAAAATCAACATTTATCTCTAATTAATCTCACTCATTATATGTTAGTTCTGATATTTGAAATATATCCGCATGTTTTCCAAATGGATGACACTTGAAAAATCATCTCTTCACCCATATTGATAGTAGCAGACTATAGTGATTTTGGATGCATTACTTAAGCTATGGTCACTTCCACACACCAGAGACTGATGAACTATAAAAAATATCGGATGCATATTTTGAAATAAAGGCATCTACTTCCTAGTTGACAAGGCAGCCCATCTAGCTGAAGTTAGTAGAAAAGAAATGTGGGAGAAAAGAAAGAAAGAAAAAAAAAGACGAAGAAGGAAAAGTACAAAAAGACAAAAGGAAAAAGCAAAAAGGAGGGGGAAATCAAAAGATTTATTCTTAATAATGTCATGAACAGATACCAGCATCCCCTGCCACAATTAAAAGAAGGATTTTATTTTTTTATTTATCAGCTGCACAGCTAAAAGAGGGATATTCAGTGTTCAAGCCCCAGTTTCGTACATGGCCACACAGGTAAGTGTATTTTCCTTGTCATTGTCGTAAACAACATCCTACACATAACCTACATAAAGCTCCACTACAGTGGAGTACTGGGTGCATAAAAAACCTGGGAAAAAAAACTACTCTATGATCAAACAAAACAACCAGTTAGGAAGTATCAAAAGACAAGTCTGGACCATTCCATTGCATTTATAGTTTCATGCACACCTACACATCTTGCAATAACACTTTCCCTATGAATACCCTAAATAGAAAAAGGAGAGAGAACAAGGGAGAAGGGAAGGGAGAGAGCATAATCAGCACTTATAATAATCAATCTATAAAGATTCTGCGTGCACAGCAGAATGAGTATAAAATAACTGTAGCACTCCCACCTCACACATTATCTAAAATATTTACAATCTCTTCCATATATACATAAACATTCACAATAGTAAAATTATGTAAACTGAACAGGTCCCATCAGTACAGATACCCTCACCTTCATCCAAAAAGCCATATGCTTTGGAAGAAGCTTATACAGTATGGGAAGTGTTTTGATTGATCAAAAAGAAGAAGCTACTTCAACCGATATGTCCTTAGGCACAGCCCTAAATAACATAGAAATCACACTTGGAAAGGGGTGACAAATTAGTTCAGCTGGTGCATTTCTATTCTAAAGTCAAAATGTCCAAAATAAGAACCCAACACAACTCATTACTGTGAACAATGTCTAGAACATACCAGAAGACCGACACTAACACTAGGTATAGATTTTTGTTACTTCAATACAGACATATTGCAAAAGGGTAAGCGTAAACTCTCTCAACTAATTCCAAAACTGAAAAAGAATTCAATAAAGATATGCACTTCAATGCATGCCCTACACAAAACTTTCCAACTAACTCAAGAAAACGAACTCATTGTATTCCAAATTGGAAAACAAACTCACACATACATAATGGGTATAGATTTTTGTTATTCAATACATAGATATTGGTTGATTGCAAAAGGGTAAACTCTCTCAACTAATTCGAAAACTGAAAAACAATTCAATAAAGATATGCAATTCAATCCATGCCCTACACACATACATAATGGGTATAGATTTTTGTTATTCAATACATAGATATTGGTTGATTGCAAAAGGGTAAACTCTCTCAACTAATTCCAAAACTGAAAAACAATTCAATAAAGATATGCAATTCAATCCATGCCCTACACAAAGCTTTCCAACTAACTCACACATACATAACAAACCCAATAAAAAAAACAGATAGGGCACAAACCATTAACTAAAAGCCATCAATTTAGTCCCTAAAAAGAGCACAAATTCAACAAAAAAACAAAACCAAGTACAAATAATTAAAGCAATTAAACCAAAACACAAAACTCAAAACTCAAAAACACAGCAAGAACCAAGTGGGTTTGATGCAAAATACCACAAATTTTGATGGGTGCTTCAAGTTCCAATAGATTAGGCTGTTGCAAGAAAATATCCCTAGAAACTACACACAACTGCTTGATCTCCGACTCCGATAGCTGCACCTGCTTTCCGGGTTTCCCTCTAACTTCAAGAAGCCGATTGATTATGTCATCGAGAAGAGATGGGTCCATTTCTTGGAAAATCTTGAAGAAAAAGGATTAGGGTTAAGGAGTGAGAAAGAGAAAGAAAGGGGATTTTAATTATTGCATGATTGGGAAGAGAGTAGAGAGAAGCGTGGTGGTGGATATGGGTGCTGAGGTTTGAGGATTGAAGAGAATTCGAAACATTACTTGGAGATCGGGTGATTCAAAACCCAAAAAAGTGGAAATTGATTTCGAGCAGAGAGGCCGATTTTGGAGAAAGATGGAGGAAAGAGAGAGAGAAGCTGACCTAGTAGAGAGAGAGAGAGAGAGGGGGTGCGCAGTGCGCATATTAGGGCTAGTGGTGGCTCCGGTGGTGGCTCCGGTGGCGCATTTTGAATGAGGGGTTCGTGGATTTTGAATTTTGGAAGTTCAAAATATGAAATTGGAGAATGGATTGAAACTTTTACGAACTTTTTTTTTTATACTAATTAATTAATATCATGTGTAATTATAAAGTTTAGAAATTCAAAATATAATATAAAATTAATTAGATAAATGCTAACAAGTATTTCTTATGTATTATTTAATGTTGAAAACTATGTAAAAAGTTTCTTGAAAATATATAAAAATATTAAAAAATTTATTGATTTCAATAAAAATGTATTTATATTAGTAAAAAATATATTATGTCTTACATATATTTTGTCTTTTATTTTTATTCTATGAACACTTGTTAGCAAGGCTCAATTGATTAATATGATAAGTGGTACATCGGTTAGTATAATAATTTTGTAAAAGTTTAGGAAATATCTAAAAAAAAAAAAATTGAATTTAGGCCTATAAAAAAATTAGTTTATTAACTTATTGACTTATTTAGATCATATTATTTTTTTTATTTTTTTTGTGCATTTTTTCAAAAAAAAAAAGCCTAATAATAATAAAAAAATAACTTCTCAATATAGGCCTAAGAGTAAATCAGATCATTAAAATAGAACTTATAGTGGCAGGCTCAAGACCCAAATAACATTTTGGATTGGACAAAATTTGTTCCCTATGTTTTTGCTTTTTTTTTTCAAATAGGAGACTGCCATAAAGCAGAAGCAAAACAGCCAAACAAATAAAAAGGTAAATGAACAAAAGTAACCATCAACCAGACACAGCTTCAGCATCAGCAGAAACAAATTTTGTTTCCTATGTTAATATACCAAAATAACTCTAAAATTTGAAATAATTGAATGTACATTTGGTAGGGATTGGAAGATATTAGACAAAGATAAATTTAAGATTATAAATTTTATTTAAGAATTTTGATGTTTTTATTTATGTTTTATTAGTTTGTATTTGTTGCTTTATAATACTTCTTTAAGAAATGTTATATATTACTTTTTTTTTTGGGCAAATTACCAACACCCCCTCGTGATTTGACTAAAATACATATTCCCCCTTAAAGTTTGAGAAATTACAAATTGCCCCTGAATGTTATATTTGCATAACAAATTAGGAGGGAATTTGTTATGCAAATATAAATCACAGGAGGCAATTTGTTATGAAAATATAAATCTCAGGAGACGGGATGTAATTTTTCAAACCTTAGGAAGAAATTTGTATTTTAGTCAAATCTCGAGGGGTGTTGGTAATTTGTCCTATTTTTTTCATCATTTTATATCACCTATTTTGGGCTCTAATATGGAAGACTATAAAACAAGTTTGAGACGACTTCTATCGAGAAACAAAGGCTCATCTAAACCCATCTAAACAAAACTAATCCAGCCCAATTTTCGAAAGAAGGGCCCAAACAACATCCACAGCCACAACAGTCTGGCCCTCATAATTTACCCTAGCTGGACACTAATTAATTGAGTCCAGCCATTTTTTGTTGCAAATAAAGACCCAGCTCACACTTAACAGTAACATAAAGCCTAATCTCAAAGAAGACCAACCAGTCCAAGCTTGTGCGACCCAAAACTGAACGAGTCTAAACCAGATCTACACAACCAGTGATTTTGTTTAAAATAGAATGGCATAGCATGCTTGGTTATCATTTTTCAAAAACATTTTTTAGAAAATTCTACTCTTTTATTTTTCGTGTTTTTTCTTTAATTTTTATTGAATTTTTTTAATATTTTGAGTAATTTTTTTTTTTAATTTTTAAACATACCTAACAAAAATATACCAAAAAAATATAAAAAATTGAAAAAAACCTTTTAAAAATTCACAAAATACCAAAAATACAAAAAAATACAAGAATTCAGTACATTTTTTATATTTTTATGTATTTATTAATTTTTAAAAATAATTTTTCATAATTTTTTTACTTTCTAGATATATCTAAGTAAGGTGCATCTAAAAAAGTAAAAAAAATGTTTAAAATTTTAAAAATATTCACTAAAAACAAAAACAAAAACGAAAACTAAAAAACTTAATTTTTAAAAAACTTAATTCAAAAAATTCAAACCAAACAAATTACTTGTTGACAAGGTCATTCGTATCATTTGCTTTGCTAATGTATTTTGTCAACTCGTTATTGTGTAACATGTTGTTAAGAGGGCTTCATAGTCGTCGATTTTCCTCAAAATTGTGTGATAATTTATGGGTTTTGTTTATGGAGCCGATTCATCCTCTGAAAGAGCATATTTTCTACGTGGCATTTTTATGATAGAATTTATAGAGAATGCTAGAGGTCCCAAACTTTCTACCAAATAAATGATCAAATGTCTCACATGGGTGTGGGGCCCACAAAATTGCAGACCCCACACCCATGTGAGACATTTGGTCATTTGTTTGGTAGAAAATTTGGTTTTCTAGTTCCATTGTAAAACAACTTATCCCAATGCGAACACAATTCAACATTTTCAAAGTTCTTACTTTTATTTTTCGATCTATCTATAATGTAAGATATCTTTATTTTTTTTCATTTTTTTTCCAGTCTCTTAACCATTTTGGATTTAAAAGAAGTGTGACATGATATACGAGCTACAAGGCTTATCAAAGCTTGTTATGAGTGGTAATCGTCCAAAGGAGGAACCGTAATTCTGATTTGATTTTACAATTGGACAATTATATTTAAGTGTTTTTTCAATTATCAATAGAAATTGAATTACTTGCAGCATAACATATAGAAGTAAATAATGATTTTATGAATTTAGAATAATATTACTTATCAAAAATAAATAAACAAATTCAAGACAATATTTATGTGTGTCTATAAAGAAATATTACTTATATAAATTTAGAAGTGTGACATAATCACAAATTGTGTAGGTTTAGTTGAAAATTTAATATTTGATTTATCCCTTTCAATACTTTTTACTAAAACTAAAATTAAAAAGAAAAAAAAACAAGGAACGGTTCGGTCAGTTCACTATGATTTTTTAAGTCTTAATTCGTTAATCAAATCATAATCAATGATTTTTAATCATTTAAAAAATTAAAATGAACTATATTATATGATTTGGTTTGGACTGAACCAATTTACCTGTTCCACTAATTTTTTTTTTGTACATCCCCAGTTTATTATATAGAGGAAACTCCGCATATATCCACCTCAATTCCAATCACTCCATAGCCCTTGTCCTTTCTCCTTTTTTTAGTCAATTTTTACATTATGTTTGGTGTTGGTGATAATTATAAATAACACACAAGAAAATGCAAATAATAAAATTACAATAACTTATTATCAGGGCTGAAGCGCGGGAAACTCGCTCTCTTTAAGGAGATTCAAGCCCTCTGCGGTTAGGCAAAGCCTCACACCGGTGCAGCAGAAAAACCTTGACTTGTCCCCCCCAGGATACAACAGCCCGACTAAGTCGTATGATTCACCAATACTGCACAATTGGTTAAACCCAAAGCTTTATCACACACACCCTTTTTATTTGCCTGATAATCTCACATTAGACATAACAAAGCAACCCAAAACTTCTTCACCTCTCGTGTCCCTCTAAATAGGACCTAAGCTCAATATATAGGAGAGTCTATCTTGGTGGATAAGAAAAGAAGGACTTGACCAAGACTTGGTGGCTTACCTGGAAGTCTTGGAATGGATAAGGAAGAGGAGACAAAGACCAAGACTAGAAAGACTTAATGGATAAGTTTTGCAAGGCCTTATCTTGTAAGGCTTTGGATGGATAAGCATGGTGGACTTGAAAAGGATAAGTCTTAGTGGACCAAGACCAAGACTTGGATAAGACAGGAGGCTTAGAGGAAAAGAAAAGAAAAACCAACAAATAACACATTATAATATTAAAATACCTGCTAACATTCCCCCACCTATTTTAATATTATAGATAACAAAAACTGAGATTATTAGGCAAATAAGGATATTATGCATCACGGTAAGTGTGCTCTGCATTGAACCTCCATTAGTGAAGCAATAATATCTACTCCAGAGCCAATAGTATGCTCAGCATTGAACTATGACTACTTAAGGGAAATAAATAATTATTGCACACACATAATATTCCAAGTGTTCACAAAAGCTTTAAAAGCTAGCACATTACGGCCTTGTGCGATCCCAGGATTCATGAGTATGTTTGAGAATTAGCCCAAATCTCATAGGTAGCGGCCCCACTACCACACTCACATAGGTGAATTTTGTCAAGGGTGCTCCTGTAACTATGACAGCCCACTCAATAAGAGCTACAGAAATTCATTAAGAGTTTTTTAATAACTCAATCTCTACAACGTTACAGGATAAATGCACTTACATCATAGGGATGGGTAAAAAGTAATTTGGTGCATTTCTCACGGCCATCATATGATCGTTTTTCTCATTGAACCCAGTTACAGGGTCTCTGGTCCCTAGGTTGAGTATCTTCATACATGGCTCCTGCTATATTCAATGGGCTTCAACCCCACCCCCCTCGATGTATTTCAGACTCTATCTCTTGCTAAGGCCTTAGTTAATGGATCTGCAAGATTATCATCAGATTTAATATAATCCACATTTATAATGCCATTATTCATATAAGATCTCACAGTACTGTGTTTTCTTCTGATAGGTCTGGATTTACCGTTATAATAACGGTTATTAACTCAACCAATTGCTGCGGTGCTATCACAATGAATCAATATAGGTGGAATCGGTTTTTCCCAACAAGAGATTTCATTTAACAAATCTCTTAACCAATTTGCTTCTTCACTAGCTGTAGCTAAAGCAATAAGCTCAGCCTCCATTGTTGAATTAGTAATAATGGTTTGTTTTTTCGATTTCCAACTTATAGCACCACCGCCCAATGTAAATAAGTAACTAGTGGTTGATAATGAATCACCTGACAAGGTATTCCAATCGGCATCACTGTAACATTCAAGTACTGCAGGATACTTATTATAAAACAAGCCATATTT